CATCTCACATAAAACCCTCCTAATGGCTTCCTGATTAAATACCAAAGTCCCTAATTCCCCCATTACCCCCTCAGAACCCTCTAGGGTAGAGGTTGATACAGCATTGAAGGTGAGCAATGACTGTCTTGTATCCTTAGAATGGGGATTGTTTAGACAGCCAAACATATGATTTCTTAAAGAGGAAATGCCATGTTTTTTTTGACTCACATGTAAAGAGCCTTACATAGTATAGGCAATTCCCCTTAATCAATTTTTCATCTTTATCAAAGATCTTTTCAAAGTGATCCCACACTTTTTGTAACACCCCCGATTTTTACCACATTTTAAAAACTTAAATGCACAAGCAAACATCTAATCATCAAGACATAATGCAATGGAAGCTATATAAAATCAGGGTATGTTATGCCACACCTATCTCAGACATAGGTGCACAAGCGGGAAAACTAATCAATTCAAACAAGTCATTAAATGTCAAGGCACACAGGCCGCTAAAAAGGCTCACAGGCCATCAAAACATAACGTCTAGACAAGGTAGCTAAGCTATCTATCGATCCACGTCTAGCGCTCTCAAACCTCTACTCAAAACCTGTAGAACAAGGAAAACATAACATGGGGATGACACCCGGTCAGCGAATCTTGCTGGTAACCCATCAATACACGTTAAATAACATATATAGATAAGTATAAACAAAATCATTTCGAAACGAAATACAGCATATACATTTCAAAACCATAGAGAGAAGTCAACTTCAAAGACTCATCAAACACTCTCAAGGAAACGGGAATTACCATCCTCACAACAACGACAAGAAAACAACATGAAAGACAAACAACACAGGATGCATTCTACTGATCACAAAGTAGAGTACATCAAGACATGCTCATAAGCAAGGAATACACATTCACACAATGGCAACTACATGCCACAGTGACAACTACATGTCACAAGTATCATAGTTCCAACCTTATGGCTACCCCTGACCTTATTTCAGTTCCAACCAATACCTCCTAGTGCCACCCTATACTTCTGAGTCCAACCTTTTGCCTCCGGGAATCGTCGTTCCCCCGCCTGCACCGCTAGCTTTTCCGCCGAACTCTCAGTACACGAGGGTACCATTAATTTCATAATCACAAAACCGCCAAACTCATGAGCAAAGCTCAAGTAACAAACCACTAATCTCAATCATAGTCACACAAGGTCATCATCATTACCAAGAAGACCAAGACTCAACAATAGTCTTAATCAAGTATCAACAAAAGGGTACAACGAGTCACATACGTTCGCATCATAGGAATCAATCAAGCGATCACAATAAAGACATGAGACCATACTCAACAACAAAGGATTCCAATCCAACACCAAATGATTGTCAACAGAAGTTGGCAATCTCAATACGAAGGAACAAACCACACATACTAGCATTTCAACATCAAACTAGCATGCTTATCAAACGGGTAAACCAAAAGTAGTTCCAAAGAACATTCAAGACTCACAATTATCCCAACGAATCACAAAGTTGGACCCTTACAACGATTCAAGACACCAAATCCTACATGGATTCCTAACATACCGTTTTAGACATACGAAACATCAAGAAGACTCACAAATAGCCCAATAAAACAACATCGGGAGGTCAAAACATCAATACCGAGTCAAAAGAATCACGAGGAACAAATCACCGCCATCATCCAACAACGTTCCTCGCAGGTGGGGCCATGGGTGGACAACCACCCGCGATTCCACCCGCGGGTACATAACCCACGAGCTACCGGTTCCCCGCTGGTGGGGCAGCGGGTAGGCCTCTGCCCGCCGTTCCGCCCGCGGGTACACTCCTGTATACCAACAATTCCCTTCGGGGATTTTCAACAACAAGTCCAAATTCAAGTCCAAAACACCTAAAATCTCACACAAAACAACAATATGACTTGAACCCAAGAAATAGCCAAGCAATGACATTCAAGAACACTATGAACAAGCTCTAAACATGCATCACCACAAGACAATGCATCAAATCTCACAAATCAACACAAGAATCACAAGTAGAAGCCAAGAATCATCATATAAGTAAGAAAATAGGTTTTGTAAAGCATGGGTTACCTTTGTAGCCTAATAACATCCTCTTTTCACCCTTAGAAAGCCTTTCCTAAAGTTCCTCTTCCACACCAACTTCATACAAAAACCAAAAGAGAACAAAGATTCTATCTTTAGAAAAAGACACCTAAAAGGTGGTTAAAAACATCAGAAGACCAAGGATCTTACCCTCCCCTATGCTTAAGATGAAGAAAGTAAGAATCTTGGGAGACAAACTTTTTAGAGAGAGGCTAGAGGTTTTTGTGTTTTAGGTTGAAGGGTGAATGAAATGAGAGAGTATGGTTAAGTTAGTTTGAATCACAAACTTTAGGTGGAAAGACAGTCCTACCCTTACTAATGTTAGAAAGACAAGGGAACATGAGCACAACACAAGAAGCACAAGGTACAACCCTTTGACTTAAGTGACTAGTCAAAATCTAGTCCCTCGACTATTAAATTTCAGGATTTTTAGGAATAAATTAGCAAAGAGATTGGGATTAATTCTCTAATTAATCCCTGATTAGTGTTTGGATTTACGGGGTGTCACACTTTTGATCTAGACTTAACCTCCTTCCATTTTTTTTTTTTGTTTTTTTTTTTTTTTGTTTTTTTGCAAGAACAGCAGGAGTCACCTGAGGCTACTTAGCAGTTGTCTCAGTGCCTTGGGCTTGTCCTCCATATTCCTCCTGAGTTGAGGGTTGAGGTCTAGAACTAGGTTCAGTGATGCTCTCCATATAAAAGGATGTGCATCAATTCATTATCCAACAATGGGGAGTAGGCAACAATCACTATAAATATACAAAGAAATCCATATTCAGACACTTGTTTGTGTCATCATTTATCAAGATTTCACAATTACATATTTACATTACAAACAGTTAAGGACAGTTAAGGGTCGTACATCCATAAACTAACATATCACATTACAAAGAAATCTAGATTCAGGAATTGTATTTAGTTCATCATTATCTGGATTTCAGTTAAGGACTTCTACTAATAAATAGAAATTTCAAGTTTCAACCTCGAAAATTTCACATTTAAGCCTTTAATCTTTAAGGGACATCACAATAGATCACATAATATCACAAAATCTCACAGTTTCACACTGCTTCCACCATAATATATTAGAAAATATTCTTATTTCATAATATATCACAATATTTCATAATATATCACAATAAATTACAAATATAAAACTAGGTTTTGGATTAAAACGTCTTCCACAATAATATATCACAATATATCAGAACATATTCATAATATATATGATATCACAATACACAGAATAAATCACAAATATAAAACTAGGATTTGCGATTAAAACTGCTTCCATAATAATATATCACAAAATAAAATATCAATAATATATCACAATACAATTAATAAATCAGAAATATAAAATTAGAGTTTGTGATTTACTTGAATTCCCCCAAATATTCCCTGGAGAACAAGGGCCTCTAATCATTAATAACCACGAAAAATGCTTCCACCACTCTAAGTCATCAACGACCACCGGACAATTGGAGATGACTGTCTTAGGCTTAGGTCTCACCGTCTCAGAGAGTGAGACAAGAAGAGAGAAGTCAGAGATTCCGGAAAACACATAACAGAGAGAATCAGAGAATCAGAGTATTGGAGAAGAAGAGATAACATGCTCAAGTCTCAATAGAGGAGTAGAGAACATAGAGAATCGACGTGGATTCTGGAAGTAGAGACTAGAGAGAGGAGTAGAGACTTTAGAGAACAGAGAGAATGAAGAAGAGGCTAGAAGTGCAATCGTTATGCTGTGGAACCGTGTCCAACTTGCAAGGTGGACACGGTTCTATGTTCATAATTACTGAACTATATGTTCATAATTATAAAGCTATATATTCATAATTTTTGAACTTGATATTCATAATTATTGAACTCTATATTCACAATTATAGAACTCTATGTTCATAATTACTTTACTATATGTTCATAATTATAAAGTTATATATTCATAATTTTTGAACTTCATATTCACAATTATAGAATCTCTATATTCATAATTATAGAACTATATGTTCATAATTATGTTCACAACTCTATGTTCATAATTATAGAACTATATGTTCATAATTTTTGAACTATATATTCATAATTATGAACAGTTTAGGAACCGTCTCCACCTTGTAAGGTAGACACGGTTCCATAGCATAATTTTCCCTAGAAGTGAACGAGGGTCTCGTTCAACATACATATATACTAGAGTTAAACTACGTCGTATCATAGCATATCTAACCCTAACCCTAATATATTTCTGGTATTCGGGTGGGTGGGATATCAAAATATCCTACCCTATCAAAAATCATTTTTTCAACGTCGTTTAGTCATGCGGTTCGAATATGCCTTCTTGAATGCGAATCGGTCAGATGACCTAGTTTCGGATCTCGAACTAGACAAATTCGACGAATTGGGTCGGATTTACACCGTCCTTTCTGATCAGGCAAAACTCAAACACATAGAGGCCCCAGTTTAGTGCAACTTTGGTCTCGTTGCCATCCAATCCAATAAGCACAAGTACAAAAAATTACTTCCACACATAGTACATCTTCAATCTCAATTGTATTGTTCACAGCCTTTAATTTTAAACTGTAAACGATGTTTATCATTTATTAACTATATTATATTGATGAAATTTGAATTCCTAGCTAGATTAAGACATTCCAAATTCCAATGATAAATTTCAAATATAAATACTCCCTTCCTCCCTAATTGTTTGTCACATTTGCTTTTTACTTCGTTTTTAATGTGACATAACAAATGTTACTAACTTTTCAATTTTGCCCCTCAAAAGTAGATGTTGTTTGTATAAAGTATAATTGTACTTATTTCATTAGTTGTCTAGAAATTTGAAAAAGTCAAAAGGGTAAATTGAGAAATATAGAATGATAGTTATATTCAATTTTGGAAAGAGGACACTATTTTGGGACAAACTAAAAAGAAAAGTAAGACAGGTAAAATAGGAAAGAGGGAGTACTAAATAGTAATGCAAGTAAAGAAAGTTAAAGGATGGTAGAGAATGAATCTGTTTATAGCTAGACATCTCTATTGAGTGTGACAGCTGGTCTGAAGATTTAAAGATCGAACCTTCGACATTTGGTTAAGCATGGATGAGTCCTTGCCACTCAATCACACCCCCAAGTTTAAAAACAATATATATTTCTTAAAAGAAAAAGGTGCTCATATTATTAGGACTATTAGGACTCTATTATCCATATTAGACAAGGACTATATTATTCGTGTTAGACTAGGATTCTATCTAGCATCTCTATATATCTGCTCCTTGTACTCTCAGACATTATCATTGAATACAACACAATTATATTCTTATCTGGTATCAGTTAGCCGGGGTTTTCTTTTCCAACATCCATGTTCCTCACTTCGTAGCAGTAGCCGATGGCATCAAACCAAGATACATCGTATCAGAAGCGGTCCGGTCAACGACGTGACATTGATAATCCGTGTCAAATTTGTAAAGGTTTCGGCCACACGGGAGCCAATTGTGTTTGGCGTTATGATGATTCGTGTCAAATTTGTGACCGTTTTGGTCACACGAGAGCCAATTGTTTTTGGTGCTATGATGATCCGTGTCAAATTTGTAACCGTTTTGGTCACACGGGAGCCAACTGTTTTCGGCGTTATTCAGGGGCTCCCGGTTTTCAGGCCAATGTGGCCGTCTCTGGTGATAATGGTGATTCCAACGGTCCTCATCAGTGGTTCCCTGACACTGGTGCTACAAATCATGCAACGCCTGATTCTTCTTTGATGACTTCTGCGACAAGTTATGATGGGCCGGAGACTCTGCGAGTCGGCAATGGTACAGGTTTGCCTATTGTTAATGTTAGTTCTGCTTCGTTAGCCACTGATTCTATGTCTTTTAAGTTACATGATGTTTTGCATGTCCCTGGTCTCTCTTATTCTCTATTATCTGTCCAGCGTTTTGCAAAGGACAATAATGTTTTCTTTGAGTTCCACCCTCTTTGTTTCTATGTGAAAGACATTTTGACCAAGAAGGTTCTTTTTAAGGGACATGCGTCTGGGGGTCTCTACACATGGCCTGCGTCTTCTGCTTCCCCTGCTGCATTTGTTGCTGCACGGTCCTCTTACGTTTGGCACATGCGGTTGGGGCATCCTCATTCTCGAGGCTTACGTAAAATTTTAGCGTCTTCGTCTGTTGGTACATTTAATTCTAGTGATCTTCCGATTGTCTGTTCCTCTTGTCAATTAGGAAAATCTTCTCGTTTTCCTTTGTCTCGTGTCGAAACTACTAGTACGCATCCTTTGGAATTAATTTATTTAGATATTTGGGGCCCTGCGCCATTACTTTCTGCGTCTGGCTTTAAATATTTTGTGTTGTTTGTGGATGATTACAGTCGTTATATGTGGTATTATCCCATGCGTGCTAAATCTGATTTGTATGCTATATTTGATAAGTTTCGGTCACTAGTTGAACGTTCCTTTTCTCGCAAGATTATTTCTTTTCAATTTGATTTAGGGGGAGAATATAAAAAGCTTGGTTCCACTCTTGCGTCCTTAGGTATTCGTCACAGGCAATCATCTGCGTATACTCATGAACAAAATGGCAGGGTAGAACGTAAGCATTGGCATGTTGTTGAAACGAGACTAGCATTAATGGCTCAATCCTCTGTTCCGTCTCGTTTTTGGGATTATGCTTTTGAAACTGCGGTTTATCTAATCAATAAAATGCCCACTCCTGTCTTATCTGATAAATCTCCTCATTATCTTTTGCATCGGTCTCCTCCATCTTATTCATATCTGCGTGTTTTTGGGTGTTTATGCTTTCCAAATCTGCGTCCCTATAATCGCAACAAACTACAGTTTCGGTCATCCCCTTGTGTCTTTCTAGGATATCCTCCATCTTTTCGTGGCTATCGTTGTTTAGACACTAACACTAACAAGGTTTTTATCTGTCTCCATGTGCGATTCGATGAGGTTGTCTTTCCTTTTGTTGCTTATGTGGATTCGCAGGTTCCAAAACCACGCCCGGAGCCGTGGGGTGTTGCCCCAATTGTTTATGGTGGTGATCCGACGATTGTCACGGCTCGTGACCCTCCTGCCGCGCCCATAGCCGCTTCTGACCACCACCGCCAGCAGCCTGCTACTGCCGAGCCCGTGACCGAGTCTGAGCGGACAGTCACGTAGTCGGTCTCTTCACGCGCCCTCACCCGTTCGCTCTCATGGAATGAATACGAGAAGTTCGGGACCACATGATCATGTTGCTTTATCTGCTGCTGCTGTTACTCCTGAACCTACATGTTTTACTCAAGCGGTTAAATTTCCTAAATGGCGGGATGCAATGGATTTGGAATTTAATGCCTTGGTGCACAATAATACATGGAGGCTTTTTCCCTTTAAATCGGTATGAATGTAGTTGGATGTAAGTGGGTGTTTCGAATCAAGAGAAAGGCTGATGGTTCGATTGAGCGTTACAAGGCTCGGTTAGTTGCCAAGGGATTCAAACAAATTGTCGGCGAGGATTTCTTTGAGACCTTTAGTCCCGTTATTAAACCGACTACGGTACGTCTTCTTTTATCCTTAGCTATTTCTCGTGGATGGACTATTCGACAGTTGGACATACACAATGCTTTTCTAAATGGCAATCTCGCTGAGACGGTTTATATGCGCCAGCCCCCTGGTTATGAAGACAAAACGATGCCCGGGCACGTTTGTCTCCTTCAACGTTCTTTATATGGGCTTAAGCAAGCTCCCCGTGCTTGGTTCACTCGTTTGCATGATTTTCTGGTTTCTGCTGGTTTCTCACCTTCCAAGACGGATGTCTCTCTATTTATATATTCACATAGCAATACTCGTCTATATTTTCTGGTTTATGTGGATGATATTTTGGTTATGGGATCTGATCCGGTTCATGTGACTGCTCTTATTGACAAGTTGGCTCTTGAGTTTAAAGTTTGTGATATGGGTGTGCCCTCGTTCTTTCTGGGTATTGAGACCATTCCGTTGTCTGATGGCATGCTTTTGTCTCAACAACGGTACATGAAGGATATTCTAAAACGAGCAGGTATGGTTGAATGCAAACCCGTGGCTACTCCGGTTTCAACCACGAAGGCCGAGATTGATGCCGTGGTGTACCATACGTTGATCCCACTCAGTATCGCAGCTTTGCAGGTGCTCTGCAATATCTTACGGTAACTCGGCCTGATCTTTCCTATGCAGTCAGTCGTTTGTGTCAACACATGCACTCTCCCTCAACTGCGGATTGGGCGGCTCTCAAGAGGGTGTTACGGTATGTAAATGGGACACTACATCTTGGTCTTAAGATTACGTCTTTTCCTTCTCTAGATATTCATGCATATTCTGATTCGGATTGGGGTTGGCAATCCTGATGATCGCAAATCTACTAGTGGTTTTGCTGTATTTTTTAGGACTAATCTTGTCTCATGGGTTTGTCGAAAACAACGTACTGTGGCTCGTTCATCAACTGAGGCTGAATAGAAAGGACTGACTGATGTCTCTGCAGATGTTACTTAGCTCGTCTCTCTGATGAAGGAAATCGGGTTTGCGCCACCTTCTGTGCCCAAACTCTGGTGTGACAATCTGGGAGCTACTTATCTGTGTGCTAATCCGGTGTTTCATGCTCGCACCAAGCACATTGAGATCGACTACCACTTTGTTCGTGATAAAGTCGCAAAGAAGGAATTACAAGTCAATTTTATTTCTACCAAATATCAGATAGCGGATATTTTTACTAAGTCTCTTTCGTCTGTACGTTTTAATTTACTCCGTTGCAAGCTCAATGTTTTGGCTGACCAACCTTGTGCTTGAGGGGGAGTATTAGGACTATTATGACTCTATTATCCATATTAGACTAGGACTATATTATTCGTGTTAGACTAGGATTCTATCTAGCATCTCTATATATTCGCTCCCTGTACTCTCAGACATTATCATTGAATCCAACACAATTATATTCTCATCCATATCATGAAACTAAGGTCCCTGACCTGTCCGTGAAACTATTTTGATATTTGGCAACAATAGTGGATGACCAGCAGAGGATTAATTTTTTAATAAATAAAAGAATTAATTACTGAAATAGTCCCTTGACTATAGCGAAACTATCAATTTGGTCATTGACTATTTTTCTTGACCAATTAAGTCCCTCAACTTTAAAAATCTTAACCAATTTGGTCTTTCATTTGTTTTGTCGTTAGACATCCGTTAACTTGGGACCAATTGTAAATTGATAATTTCGATATAGTCAAGGGATCATTTCAGTAATTAATTTTCAGAGAAAATGGCACACAGAATGACCGAAATAGTCCCTTGATTATAAAAAATTACCAATTTGGTCCTGAGTTAACGGATATCTAATGGCAAAATAAATAAAGGACCAAATTAGTTAAGATTTTTAGAGTTGAAAAACTTAATTGATCAAGAAAAATAGTCTAAAATCAAATTGATAATTTCACTATAGTCAAGGGACCATTTCAGTTATTAACTCTAAACAAGATCTTTTACATTTCAGACTTGGGCTCAAGTCTTAGCAACCATAATTTGACTGATTTTTCTCCAATGCAATTAACTTAAAAATTTGTAATATGTTATTATTCAAGATTTGAAAACGAAAGTGGCTGTAGTTTAGTGGTGAGTGGTCGTGGAGACCTGGGCTTGAATCCCATCAGCTACAAAAATTTATATAATTTTGCATTTCTACAGTATTTAGGCCCCCAATACACTCATCTTTAATCAGTCAGTATTTGGGCCCCCAGTCCACTCATCTTTAAATATATCATGAAAATAAGGTCCCTGTTCATAGTAATGGTTATTGTCATTTCCATTATGAGATAATACCCACCGCCAAGGTGCATCCACTATTAGAATTTCATCAATTTAGTCATCAACTATCAAAATTATTCAATTTAATATCCAATTATGTCATTTTTATCTAAAATAATCTCTCGATTATTAGGATTTCACCACTTTGATCCTCGACTACTAAAGTTGCTCAATTTAGTCCCTAACTATGCACTTTTTATCTAAAATGATCCCTCGACTATTAGGATTTCACTACTTTGGCCTTCAACTACCAAAGTTGTTCAATTTATTCACCAACTATGCTAATGTTAACTTAAGTAAGATTATTGTGGATTTGTGGACCTTTTTGGAAAGTCAAAGACCAAAGTGGTGAAATTCTAATAGTCGAGAGACCATTTTAGGTAAAAATTGTATAGTTAGGGACTAAATTGAACAATTTTGGTAGTCGATGACCAAAGTGGTGAAATCTTAATAGTCGAGAGACCATTTAAAGTAAAAATTGCATAGTTATGGACTAAATTGAAAAACTTTAATAGTCGAGGACCAAATTAGTGAAATCCTAATAATTGAGAGACCAAATTGGGTATTAAATCTTTCCATTATATTCCCTTACCCCAAAAGCTGAATCCCCAACCCTAAGGGCCCCCCACACTCCGACCCAACAGAAGATGTGAGAGGATGTGAGTATTAACTCTTTCCATTATATTCCCTAGTTACATTGTAAGTAATCTCCTATACTGTAGCAAATTACACCATACTTAAAAGCCAAATATGGTTCTTCATCAAAAGGATTCATGTGTTAGGAGAAATCTGAAGCCTAGGTCCGGCCCCCAGTGTTACATTACTTTTGTGCCTTAAGAGTGAGTGGACTGACTTTTATATAAAACTGCAAATGAAGGACAATAATAATAATAATAATAATAATAATAATAATAATAATAATAATAATAACAATAACAATAACAATAACAATAACAATAACAATAACAATAATACTTCCTTTTTGTTTATAGTTTTGTGTAATTTCTCTAGCTCTTACCGTGTTTCTCTACCTAGGGGTGTCAAAGTGGGCCGAAGCCCGCGGGATGGCCCACACCCGCCCCACGGTGGGACGAGTTAGGGCTGTAGTAATTGACCCGTGCGGTGCACGAAAAATGACTTGTGAATTGCATGTTATATTGTGTTAATAAAATATTATAAGAATTATATAAAAAAAATATAATATTATGTTACATTAATTACAATCGATATTTTTCGTTAAAAAAGTTTAATTATAAAGATGTTAAATAAGCAGTTTAATAATTGAATAATTATTATATGAGGTATATATAAAGTATTTAATTAAAATATTTTATTGTAAATCATTGAAACACATATATATCGTGTGTTAGAAATACAACACAAAATATTAACCAAAGTTCTTTTAAAAATTATAAAGATATATACATTTATACGTATTTTATATATATATATATATATATATATATATATATATATATATTTGTATGTACGTATATATAAGTATACATGAGCCCAAGTCCTATTATTTTGCTGTTTATGGCCCATAACAATTACAGTCCAATATCCTGACCCGGCCCACCCCTATAAATTCTCTATAACCCACCGACAACCCACTCCACTACACCATTTCCTGTTGTCTCATCTCCTAGGTTATCCCTCACTCGCATGATCTATGTACAGAGATGCCCGAACAATTCTCACCAAGAACATCGATTCTAACTCAAAAGAGCTTTGATGTATTTTTTCTAGTTTTGATAAAGCCAGAATCTCACAAAGAACACATTTCGATTGAGTCAGAATACCGCGAAGAACCCATTTCGGAGGAACAGCTAAGTTATTTTGTACAAAAAATATCTATTTTCTAACTATTTATGTTTATATATATTTACCTAACTGTGCTCGCTTCGAGTATATGTATGAAATATCTTAGCAATGTTTTCCAGATCTAGTTTTTTACTTTTAAAGGAATATTGTCCAGAATATGACCATAGATGTAGATGAAATCCGAGATTTGGAACATGACGGTTGGAAATCTCCTCTTTAGTTATCATACAGATCTGGTAATTTTTTAATATATTTTTTTTATTTATACGTGTATTAGCAAGGTATTAGTTACTGAGTTTTTTTAATTTTTTGTTTATTCTGATCAAAATTCTCAATTAAATTAAATGGCTAACAATACACTGTAACTAAAAGTCAGATTTTAATTAGTAAATATTAGGTTCAATACTCAACCTATACAAAGTTTATTACTTTAGTATTGGAAAAGTGAACATAAATAGTCTTAATTAGTCAAATTTTAAGTAGTGATTGTAAGCCTCATCATCTATTATAATGGATTCATTATTCAAACATTAAAAAAATAACACTTATTCTATGCCTTTTTTTTTTTAATTTACATTTTTATTTTATATTTGAAGGCTTCAAAAGATGTATCAGTGAAGCAGTGAAGTTGATGCACTTTACCATTTTAACAGTAAAACCCCACCCTACAAAAGACCCATATCACAAACTAAATATATTCTAATACTTGATTATAGTTGAAATATAAAAAGTTCTTAGAATGTGGACATTGAAAAAGCCTTCAAATCAACTACATTGTCCATGCTTATTGAAAAGTGAAAACTCTGAAGGTCTTAGAATTTGAAGAGATGCTATATTGTTGTCTGGGCATTTTCTCTTTCCAAGAATATGTTGATCGTCATTTACTCACAATTTGATTCTTCTGCAAGAAGTATGTCAAAAGTAGTTGTAGATTTGAAGCCCTTGAATAAGGTGTGCTTAGAA